AAATAAATATATATATATATATTTATATAAACTTAGAAACCAAAACCAGTGAATAGCTAACAGTAGAACAAACTAATGTAAAATCGAACACTGCATGTGTTTGTTTATTTATAATTATTTAATTATTTTAGAAATAAAAAAAAACACATTGATCTTTGCCTGTGAGTAATTAACAAATAATGTAAAGTAAACAAACACTCAAAGAGAACTGTTTGAATTTGTTTTGACACACAGAAATTTCCTGCTTTGAAAAATTATATATACTCGAGAATAAAATGCCATCTGGTAGTAAATATGTGAAACACAGTCTAAATAACATACAGTAGTGTAGTGCAATCTAGCAATGGAATTTTTTATAAAAATTGTACATTTTTAGTGATGATAAATCATCATGAAGGTATTTACGAAAACGTTCATGATATATCGTCAATTAAGTATTTAAAGGTTAAATGGAAAAACACTGCATTCCAAAATTGTACTATCTAATATTTACTGTATGGTTTCAAGGGAAATATTCTTGGTAAATGAAATAACTGTTTTTACATGACTAAAAATTAAGAATGAATTTCATCAAACTTTTGAAAAGTACATTTAATGAATTAGAAGATATATATTAAGGATGCATCGGCCTTTTTCCCCAATTAATCGGTTTTAATACTCAGCCAATTTTGCATTTTAATATTTTTGTTAGAATGTTATGTATAAGGCTAGTAATAAAACATAATAATTATATAACAGAAATTTATTATTTATTACATGACAATTTAAGTTGATAAAAGAAATAAAAATTTTTTTAATATTTAGGTTAATACATATCATAAGGTATAATATAACCTATACAAAACTATCTGTTTTATTTAAAGTTTAAATATATAAAACAAATAAAAATTCAAAGTTTAAAACCCTTAAATTGTAATACAAAAACATGAGAATTCCACCATTTTCAGGGCACTTAAATGTTACCTCCAGCTCTGAAAATTCTTTCACTTTCAATGGAAGATGCTGGGGGACTTCTCCATCAGAAAAATGAGTTGCTATGTCTTTGTGTAAGAGGTAAATGTAAATATTTTTCTAATTCTTGATCGAAACATTTGTTTGTTTTTGTTTTTTTCTTCCTTTCTAAAAACATGCTTTTCTTCATTTTGTTTACCAGAAGTTAATTCATCAAATAAATTAGAAAAACTTAAGAGATTCTCTTCCATCTTGATAATTCAAAATCTCAAGAAGAATTAAATTCTGAAGCCTCTAAGCTATCAATTGTCCATCTTTTTATTTCCTCTACCATATCCTCCTTTTCTTGAAATTTCATTTTGAACCTTGGATCTAATAAAGATGACAAGCATAAAGACTTGTTTTCTATATAAGCTGAAAAATTTTTTTAAATTGAATTTTCGAGTCCTTCTATTTTAGTATTATTGTCACCTAAGAAACTACTGTTTTTACTTTTGATAATAAGAATAATTTAAGAGTCTATTGTGGGAATTATTGAAGATGAGGTGGTTCGTTTGCTGGCTTCCGCAGTAATTTCTTCGAATGGTTTTAAAGTAGAAGAATTTTTTCAACGAGAGACCACTGATATGTGCTCAACGTAGGAATTTTATTATCTATAGCATATGTGACAAGGGTGAGAACATCTTGAATTAGGTTTTCAGAAACACAAATTAACTTGTCTTGCAAATCTTCCAATTTGCTTACAGCTACAGCAGAATGAGTAAAATGTGTGACAATATTTCTATTAACTGTGATTATAGTTTTCACATCTTGTTAAGAAAATGTGCATTCATTTAGTGTCAGCTGCAGTGTATGTGTAAAGCATGATGATGCCTTTCAGTTGCAATTCCTGATTCCAGTTACCATATTTGCTCCAGAATCTCTCAATACTAAGAATATCTTATCACTTGCTTATACTGTTCAAGAACAATGTTTATCTGTTCACTGATTCGTGTACCTGTATGGGAACCTTCAAAGGGAACAATTCGCAAAACAGCTCTTTCTTGCTGAAAATCACACTTCAACCAGTGAGCTGTTAACTTAAAAAAAGGAGAATTGTTTGTAGTTACTGTCCAAATATAAGCAGTTAAAGAAATATATTTTTCTTCGTCAATAGCTTTCTGAATTTTTGACTGAGGTTTTTGAAATATCTCAGGGAAGATATTCCTAATTACAATATTCCCAGCTGAAAATGATATTTTTTTAGTAATCTTTGAAATCCTAAATTAGACACAACAGAGTATGGCTGTATGTCTACACTTATCATTTATCCAATCAAATAATGAACTTCTTTGGATTGTTGATTAATTATATCCTACAATTTTTTCTTCTCTATTAATTTAATTGAGTTAAAATAGCTTGTTTTTGGATATGAGTTTCCGTTGTTACTGATGAACATCCAGCTTCTTTGGTTTCAAAACTTTTTAAAGGAAACTTAAAAGATGAAAAGAAAAAGTTTTCATGATGATTTATCATGATTTTGGTGGTAAAAGTTTTAGCAATTTTTCGACCTCTCAATATAGAAAATGCACAAATTGCACTTGGAAAACTTCTCGTTTTTATATTTCTTAAAAAATTTCCAAGCAATATTGGAAGCCATGAGGGGTTTGAATTTGGCTATTAATTAAAATTAAAAAGTTTTTCAAAATACAGTAGTCTCGAAAACTCAGCACTCGATAACCCGGCAGTCCGGATAACTCGGCCACACCCTGGCAGGGCAAAAA